TGCGCTGACGGCCTGTGAGGCGGGTGCGCAGGCCACGCCCAAGATGGTTGAGGCACGGGCGCGTGACCTCGTGCGAGCGCGGGCCTGGGCGGCGCCAGAGAACAGTGCAGGAGTAGAGGCGCAGGCTCTCCACCACTTTGTGTGCGGGTACCTGTGCGCGTATCGAGTGGACGCCGGCGCTTTTGCAGTTGCGTCGACCCATGGCCTGCGCCCCGGGTTTGCGGGGACGGTCGCGTTGCCGCCAGGTCGCGAGAGCGCGTACCACGGGGTCCTGACCCACCAGCGCGGGCCGGTCGCGCTTTAGCTAGCCCATGAGCTGTTCAAGGCCCGCGCTTGTGCAGTCATGGTCAACGGGCACCTCGCCGATCCTGAGGTGGAGAGCCTCATGAGGCCGGGAGCGTACCCAACCGAGCTTGCGATGATCCGCCACCTGACCGCCATTGAGCCCCAATTCCAGGTGGTGGCGCGCAGGGCCTGCGGCCCCTGTGTCGGGTCCCGCTCTGGCAACCGGATGGCCCCAGCGGAGCTCGGGAACCTGACGCATTGCCATGTCCATCTTGTCGGTTTCGGGCATGACGGCCATTGCCGGCCGCTCGAAACGAGGTGCCACGTGATGACCCTTGCCGAGCAGGATCGCGTGAAGCAGGAGCTTTTTCACGCGTTGGAGGGCCGGGCAACCGGCGTGGCCGCAGGCCCGACAGGTGCCGAGGCGGCCGCGTTCAAGCGGGCCGGGAATCAGTTCACCAGGCAGAGGGCGTACACTCCCGCTGTGCGCTTCTGGACAGCATTTTCCGGTCTGCTGGATCACGGAGTCGCGCGCGCGCTAGCGATCGCGGATCAGACGGAGGGCGCGACGTACATGCGCGAAGTGAGCGGAGCCGCCCGAGCGTCCTGGCCCGAGCGCGCGGATTTTCGCGCGAAGAGGGGAGCTGCCTTGCGCGCCTCTGGCGCGAGATAGGCGGAGCTATGGGGGGGGGGCCAGGAGAGGCCAGGCACGCAGCGCGAGGCATGTTTTGCGCCTTTTCAGGGCCCTTGAGCACCTGGCACGGGCCGCCGCCGCCGCCGCGCTGCTCGTCGCAGCTGCAGCTGCCGCGGCAATCGCGGCCACGGGCCCCGGGCACGGGCAGCCAGACGAGCCCAGTTACGGCGAGGCGCTCCAGCCTTGCGAGAGTGGCGCTGGGGTAAGGCTGATCGCTGCCCTCTTGACGCAACGCGCGCGGCTCCTTGGGAGTGGCCCCGCGCCCAATACCGCGCGTTTTCCGGCCCAGGATCAGTCCCGAGTCCCAGCTCAAATCCCCAAACGTGTGGCTTGAATAGATTCGGATATCTGTGAATATGATTGAATACCTTTGAATACCGTTGAACATGTTTGAATACGTTTTCGAACCAATATGGATTTTATTATTACGAGTTATCCACATATATCCAAACATGTTCCAGGCTCTCGGATGGGGTCGGTTTTGTCCACGACGCCAGGCGTCATCGCCATGCAGCCCGACAGTGCCAGACTCCGTCGCGGTGGCCCCCAGCAGCATCTGCTTTCGCAGCGCCTTCGAAGTGCTTTTCGGGGCGCTCGAATTTCGGGGGCGGAAAAGAGGGGGGTGATGACTAGGGGGAGATGGATATCATGGCGGGGGTCATGATATTTCCCCAGATTTCATGGCGCCCCTTCTTATCTCATTACGTCCCTGGCCCCCCCGTTGGGCCGCGCACATGCCGCCGGCCATGATTTGCACCTCCCCCTCTTGGACACCCCCCTCTTGGCCGCTCCCGAGAACTCAATCGGCAGAGTTCCCCGTTTGCCTGCTGGCACGACAAATCTTTCGAGCGGTGCTCCGCCGATCGTCGATGCGGCGCGGCAACACGCCTGCTCGCGCGATGGCGTTGGGCCCCCGCGTGCGCCCCGGAAGCCGCGCACCACGGGCCACGCCAGCCTATAGGGTCACTCCTGCGTGTAGTCTCTTCTCCTTCTCTCTGGGGCGTCGCCGCGCCATGCAATGTCATGCCACGCGCTGGTATGCATCGCCAAGCTGCGCCATGTGATGCTGCGCAGCGCTGCGACACCCAAGGAGGCGAATATGGAGCGGATGTTTCTGCCAGGGTGAGGGACGGGAGGGAGGGGTATAGGTCGCCAGATGCGACGCGAGCGCAATCGACTTGCCACTTCCTCCCCCGCGCCCGCCGCCGAAAATCGGGGGCGGAAAAGAGGGGGGTGATGACTAGGGGGGGGTGGATATCATGGCGGGGGCCATGATATTTCCCCAGATCTCATGGCGCCTCTTCTTGTTTCGTTACGTCCCTGGCCCGCCCGCTGGGCCGCGCACGTGCCGCCGGTCATGATTTGCATCCCCCCCTCTTGGACACCCCCCTCTTGGCCGCCGCAGAAAAAAGTGGTGCCCCGACGGCAGCCCCGCCCCCGGGCCGGCCCACCGCCGCCCGCAGCGCGCCAGGCTGGCAGCCGCGTGTCGGGCAGGGGCGCGCCGACCCGGCGAGTGGCCGGGCCAGCCAGCCGCCCGCCCCGCCCCTTTGCCCTGACGCTCCAGGGGAGGATTTTACCAGCCTGGAACATGTCCCTACCCCTATGCTGGGCACCTCATCATCACGATGCCAATCTTAGGGATTCCTTTATTTTTTGAGGGCGAATCCCTAAGATTGTCATCGCCTTTTGGCGTGTCAATCTTAGGGATAGGGATACGTTCGAGGCTGGGGAGGATTGGCCTTTGAGGTTCAAGCGTCGATGCCCGTTGGGGAAGGGAGGATTGGCTTTTGAGGAGGAGGCGGAGGAGGAGGAGGAGGCGGAGGAGGAGGCGGAGGAGGAGGAGGCGGAGCCTGTTTTGAGGCCATTCCCAGAGCTCCGGATGTCCTTGGATGTTGCCAGGATGTCTCGAGCGAAACGCTTGTTTTTCATGGGCCTCGTGGGGGGCCAGAATTCAGAGGATGTCTCAGGCGAAATGCTTGTTTTCACGTCCCGCTCGCAGGAATTCCGAGGATGTCTCGCACGTGCCGCGTCCCGCGCGCAGGAATTTGCAAAGATGTCTCGACTAATTCGTTTGCTGTTTCAGGAATTCCTTGGATTTTGGCAGGATGTCTCGAGCGAAACGCTTGTCCCCAGCACGTTCCGTAGCGCGTCCCCTTGGCACGTCCCGCGGTGCGTCCCCATGGCACGTCCCCTGGCACGTCGCTTGTCGCGTCCCTTGAGACGTTCCGCGGCGCATCCTCCTGGCTTGTCCCCCTGTCAATTAGCTCTGGGGCAGCTACTATGTGTTCAGGCAGCTCGAGCTTAAGATCCAGATCAGTTCGGTCAGGACTCGGATGCAAAGGAGGACTCGATCCACGACGCTACAGAGCACAATCGCGGCATGGCACATCGCAGTTCAGCACGGCGCAGCAAAGCACAGATTTCGGCACGGTACATCAAGATCGATACATTCAGCATTGCAACCTGGCACGTTCCTTGGCACGTTCCGTGGGGCGTCCCTTGGCGAGTCCCCTGGCACGTCGCGTGGCGCGTCCCCTGGCACATCCCGTGCCGTGGCATATCCATCGGCACGTTCCGTAGCGCGTCCCCTTGGCACGTCCCGCGGTGTGACCCCATGGCACGTCCCCTGGCACGTCGCCTGGCGCGTCCCTTGAGACGTTTCGCGGCGCGTCCTCCTGGCCTGTCCCCCTGTCAATTAGCTCTGGGGCAGCTACTATGTGTTCAGGCAGCTCGAGCTTAAGATCCAGATCAGTTCGGTCAGGACTCGGATGCAAAGGAGGACTCGATCCACGACGCTACAGAGCACAATCGCGGCATGGCACATCGCAGATCAGCACGGCGCAGCACAACACAGCCCTCGGCAGGGTACATCAAGATCGATACACTCAGCATTGCATTTGCCCGTCACCCAATCAGGTTTCTTTGAAAACGTTGCCATGCGTTACAGCTCTATATTCCTTTCCGGATTCGTGGGTCGATCATGTTTTCGTCGAAAATCCCCGGGGACACGCCCGTTTTAACACTAAAGCTAAATGGCCGAGCATCCCGAGGGACACAACTGCTTGTAGGCGAGGACGCTCGTAGTTCCTGCCAGTCGTCTCATCGGAGAGCTCACCACGCCGCGGGCTGGAGTAAGCAGCCAGACAGGAGGTGGAGGAGGAGGAGGAGGAGAAGGAGGAGGAGAAGGAGGAGGAGGAGCAGGAGGAGGAGGAGGAGGAGTTGGAGGAGGAGGAGAAGGAGGAAGAGGAGGAGGAGAAGACGACGTGAAATCAGCAGCAGCAAGTGACGGCATTCAAACCATTAACCCCGTGCGGGCGATCATGAAGCCTCCCCCCCCCCTGAAGGCTCTCTATTTTTATCATCCCCGTTCAGCAGGATTTGATTGTGGAGACGGGCGCGGAGGCCGAACTTTATAATCTACGGGGGAATGCGAATCGAAGTTGCTATCATCTCATGTTGACCTAGCAGCAGCATCAAAACTCTGAGCATGGCCACGGTGGTCTCGCCAGATCAGCTTCCGCAGTCACGAGCGCAAGAGAAGTGTCTTGGCCAGAACGGCCGAGGACCTCTCTTGCGCTGGCAAGCTGTAGGCACGAGCCTGGAGATCTCTCGAGTCAGCCTTGTGCCGAGCGCCTGCTGGCAAGTTGTAGCCACGAGCATCGAGATCTCTCGAGTCAGTCTTGTGCCGAGCGCCTTGGATCACCATCATCATGATCATCGTCGTCATCATCATCATCATCATCATCATCATCATCATCATCATCATCATCATGATCATCATCATCATCAACATCATCGTCATCGTCATCATCAGCATCATCATCATAACTTCACCTTGGAACGGGAAAGTCTTTGATGATCCCCGCCAGACCCCCGAACTTTCATATCCCCCGGGTACTCTTCTCGCCCGCACAGGGCTATGTTCACTTCCGTTGCCCACTGCTGTCCGGGGCGGCCTCGTCGCCGCGTGGAACCGGAACCGGAGCCGCCAGACACATCGGCGACGGGACCGGGCACAAAAACGGCGGCGGGACCGGCAAGATCTAGGCCTCCCAGATGGGGTCGGAGTAGATGGGGTCGGATGATCGCGCCGCATCGCCGATGCATCGCCGATGCGGCTCGATGTGCAGCCCGATTCGACGTCGACGATGCATCGCCGGTGCATCGCCGATGCATCGCCGATGCATCGACGATGTATCGCCGATGTATCGGCGATTCGGCGTGATCCTCCGACCCCATCTACTCCGACCCCATCTAGAAGGCCTCTACAAGAGTGGCCGGTGAGAGAACTGGCCCTGTCGTTTCCAGGGCCCGCTGAGCTCTGGGCCCTGGCGTGCAGCCGCGCGCGCGGGTCTGCCGCCCCCGCCGCGGCCCCCATTTCGGCCGAGGGCGGCGGTGCTCTCGAGGAAAGAGACACGGGGACCATGACCAATACGTCGCGGGATCTTGTCGATGCCGATCGTGGTCGTGGTCCACGTCGGCCGTCGCCCATCCGTGAGGATGATCCACGAATGGACGCGGACCAAAGTCGACGGTGGCCAAGGCCGACAGCGTTTCCGCTTCAGTCTTGGGCATGGTCCCCGTCTTCTTCCCCTCCAGTGTCGGGCACGTCCCCCCTACAGGAGGGAATATTCAAGAGTAGTTAAAACGCAGTCCAGAGGTCCAGGGAGGACTCTTCCACTATTTGTATCAACTTTTGAGTACTTCTTGACCATGTTTGATCCCGAAGAGAAAAAAAACGCCGGAAACATAAACTTTTGGCGCTCCGCGCGGATTTCTTGGATCCGCACCTGGGCCCCCTGGCGGCACCTCCGGCGCCACCCCTGGCGCGCTCCGCGCGCCGGGGAGAGGGGGTCCAGGCGCGGATCCAAGAAGCCCGCGCGGAGCGCCGCCACAACCTTTGATGTTTCTGGCGTGCTCTTTCCTCCTCGAATGTTCGGTGCTTCTCCCGAGACGTGCCTGCCGGCGGACGTGCCCGACCCGGGCCGAGCGCGGCCGCGCTCGGCCGCGGGGGCCGCGGGGGCGGCGGCCGGGGCCCGCGCGCCCCCCGCAGAGCGCGCCCCAGCGGGAAGTCGCGCCCTCGCGCCCACGCCTGCGGGAGGAGTTTCCTCGGCGTCGTGGAACCGATGCTCCTCCTCCTCCTCCTCCTCCTCCTCGTCCTCGTCCTCGTTCCTCATCTTCCTCTTCCCCACCACCTTCTCTCTCTCTCCTCCTCCTCCTCCTCCTCCTCCTCCTCCTCCTCCTCCTCCTCCTCCTCCTCCTCCTCCTCCTCCTCCTCCTCCCCCTCCGTAGCCATTTTGGCTCAAGGTTTTGAGTTCCCCAGCGGAACAAGTGGATACCGCTATTCCGCGGCAGTGCCAAGGCCTCGCGCCTGACAGCTTTTGCCAGTACTGCACGGGCCTCTGGCAGCCCATTTCTCGTGTGCTCCTCACGGCGCCAGTTGCTACGACGCCGCGATGGTCCCCGCCCCGTGGCATATCCCCGACGATGCGGAAGACACTTGGACGAGGCAGCCCTGGGTCCGAGTGCCGCCTGGGGGTGCCAAGGCTGGGCATATTCGTGGTGTTCGCTTGTACACTGTGTGCGCTTGTGGCCATTGGACGTGGAATGACCTCCTGGCCAAGCGGCGCAACTTCTGTGTCGGATGTCAGTCCCAGCGTCACCCTCCCAGCCCCTCTGGCGTCGGCGGCCAGATGCTGTCGTACGCAGGCGCTGAAGAATCAGGATGGGGTGATGGTGGCGGCAAGTCCAAGGGGCGCTGGCGCAAAGGTACTCTGGCGCTGCAGCTGCAGAATCGGCCCTCCGAAGCCATCCCTCCTCAAGCTCTTGCGGCGGTCAAGGAAGCTGCCTCGCACCTTGCGCCTGAGTTGGCCCAGAAGTTGCTCTCCCAGTTCGTGCCCAAGCCGCCGCCCCAGCCCCGGGCGACGCCTCAGGCCGAGTGGCAGCGTGCCTCGCAGGCCAGGAAGGCTTCCCAGGAGAAGCTCGACAAGGCCCTGGCCCGCCGTGCGGTACTCGACAAGAAGGCCAGCGACCTTGACAAGCTCCTGGACGAGCTCATGGCCAAGGACATGGAGAACGCTGATATTCTTGAGCAAGCCACTCGTACGCTGGCCGTCGGAGTGCTTAAGGATGTTGAGCCTACTCCCGTCAAGAATGTCATTTCTCTCGATGACCTCTTCAAGGACTCCGCTGAGGAGATCAAGCTCGATTTTGGGGAGGAGTTGGACGTCTCGGCGCCTGCTTTCTCGGCTGAGGACCGCGAGGGCTTTGACAAGTTCAAGCTTGAGCAGTCGCAGCCGGTCAAGACCCTCTTGCATGAAGCGCTCAAGAGCGTTACGTCCCAATAGAAGGAGCACCAGCAGGCGTGCCAGAAGCGCATGGGTGAGCTGCGTAAGAAGCGCGAGACTACGGATGGGTCAGTTGGCGTTGCGGCTTCTCCAGTCGCGGCTAGCCAGGGTGCAGCTTCACCGCAGGTGCCTGCGGCTGAGGAGGCGAAGGCTGTGCCCATCGTTGCTGCCACC